TATGGAGCACTCTGACAACAGCAAAGAAAACCTGACAAACAATGCACATGAGACAGCACATTGTCACTCTATGTTGAACAAGACATTATTGTTAAAAATGGAGCTGAATACTTCACATCTCTGCATAAACAATATGTAACATTACTTGGGAGTGAATCTAAATACAGTGCACAGAAGGTGGAAGCTAAATTACTGAACAAGTACAAGAATGAAATAAAGAGTACCAAATCCTCCAACAGAAAAGGAAAAGTAATTTTGTCTTCAAGTCTATCAAATGAGGATGTGGTCTTGTATGCTGAGGCACAAGGAAAGTCTTATTCTGCATGTGTGCTGGGCGCAGCTTTCATTCTGAGGTAGGAAATAATCAGGATGAGAGATGCGTCAAAGGATCTATCATTGCCCTTGTCAGCACAAGTTATTGGAAAGGGTAATGGGCAACCCTCCTGTGATTTTATGTGATTCTTTTGAACATTGTATACCGGCTTTCCAAGGCCAAAAGATCCACCTAGAGTCAAGGCTGAGAGATGCATCAGATCATCAGCAGACGACAATCTATGCAATACTTCAAATTGAACTATCAAACCAGGTAAACATCTTAATCTTGCACTTGGGCTTAAAAGTACCACTGGCAGCAGGAAAGTAATTCAGATTTTGAATCATTTTGGACACTGTGTAGGGTATCACATGGCTGAAATGTTGGAAACGGAGATGGCAACATCTGTATCACAAACTGAATCACCACTTCCAGATGGTCTCCTTCACTCACCCTGACGTCACACTGGCACGGCGTGGGACATTTATGATGAGAACACAGAAACTCTATCAGGTGCTGGGACACTTCATGAGACAGTCGGTATATGTTACCAGGATATTCAAACAGCCCCATTTACACCTGAAGATGTTCCAACACATACATTTTTTAAAGCTGGAAGAAGAAAGAGATCCAAGGAGAACAATCTTACATCAAGCCCTACATGAAGAAGCTAGGATTCAAAGGTTTGAGTATCCATTATCCGAAGGAGAGAAGCCTACAAATTATGTACACTTAAGACACATGGACATACTCATGGATGGGTTATTCATGGAATCAGCAAACCCCAATGTGGATAGGGTGGTGGAATGCACGATTGTCTGAGGACTATCTACTACAACAAAGAATTGGGTATTTGAAAAACACAACAGAGCCACCAACACAACTGAAAGTAGTTGCTAAAACACTGAGGATATCTCAAGAAGTTGCAAAAACCGGTGGTGAAAACATGGCACTTTCCACTTATGATTTGGCCCGTAGCCAAACCTGCATTGCAGATACAGGCACAAGAAAAACCCACCTTTGACAACGTGTTCGTTTGCTTTGGAGCTTTCCATATATCTATGACATTTTTTGCTTGTTTGGGATACCTCCTCGATGGATATGGGGGACCAAACCTCTTGACAGAGACTGGCGTTCTTGCTGGTGGATCACTCAAGGGATTTATCAGTCGTAGACATTTCAATAGATGCAAACGCCTTCTGGAAACTACATTTTCAGTCCTTCCTTGACAAGAACCCTGGTTTTATTAATGATGACATGAAGCAACTGGTGAGTGAAGTCGGCGTCAATCCAACATCAGTGTTTGTCAAACTGGCTTTGGAAAAGAATGCAATTCTAAGAATCCTTGACACACATGACGCCTATTCAGTGGATACAAGGAATGGGGTTCATGGGAAAACTGCTCAGTCCTGGATCATCTATATCGATCTTGTAAACCTGTATCCGATGTTTATCAGGCTCTGCAGGACGTGTGACTTCAACGTATTTGTTCGCTGCCTTGGATGGATGTGTCCAAATTTCTTTGCTATGAATCGTCCACATTATTCAAGATGGATGACTTTGTATCACTTGAATCTACTGAAGATAGATATCACACACACGGGAGCTAAAAAGATGCTAGAAAATGGAGGACTTTCAATCAAGAGAAGCACAAATTCTTTCTCCAGAGTACCAGTTGATATGGCACTTGAACAAACTGTCACACTGATGCGGCTTCAAGGGTGATACGAATTTCTTCGTATCATCAGTTGTGTGAGGTCTTCTTGAGATGGTTGTCCTTGACAGAAAAGATGAAACTTCTCGTGAGCAAAGGCTATCTCGGTTTGTGAGAGATCAAAAGGATGTTGAGAAACTTCTCAATGCAACAGAAAATATTTTGAATACATCCGGGGAAGCATGTACCAACCCCAACCTCTATTGTATCAGTTCTGGAAAGGCTGTACGATATGAAATAGCCAATGATCTTGTTTCTGTGCTACAGAAAGGAGAAGAGCGACACAAGCAATTTCAAGATGGCTGTTTCAGTGATGCTCGACGGTTTGAAAAACCTATTCCCAGAGGTAAATTTTTAAAGTAAAAACTTTTGCTGCTGGAGCTGCGCACGGCCAAAGATAAGAAGGTAAATGAGCTCCAATGCACAAGTGATCTCTTTGGAAGACTACTGTACCTAGCTACAACCTCAAACATCAACCTGCAAAAAGTTGCTTTGCCCACATAGACGGCTCTCTCAACAAGACTGACAAATCAAGGCTTCTGCGCTGTCTTGAAAAGAAGGTCGAGGATCACTCACAAACTGTCACTCTTGACGTATGCATTGTTAACGGGATGTTCTTTGTACAGTCTCTCACGAATGTACCTCTAAGAAACAAGGATATTGCCCAAACAATGCTTATTGCGCTCTGCCGATTGGCCAAACATGTTCAGTTTGTTTGTGATACATACAAGAGCCCATCCATTAAGGATAGTGAACGGCAAATGCGTGGTCAGACTGTATTTGAAGCCTTAGTGACAGGTCCTCTCAAGATTAGACCAAAATAATTCCATCAAGCATTGATTCTGAGGTTTCTTGTAGAAGAAAGGGCAAAAGATGAATATAATTCAATATTGTCAGGACATGAACTGTATGTTGCCTTTGACAGTGCGTGCTATGTTTTCACACGCTACATTGATGTCAGTGCAGTAGCTTTATCTATCCGGGTGGATATCTATGAGGCTCTTCCTTCTTTCCATGCATTCACAGGTTGTGACTACCCTGCAACATTTGCCAGAATAGGAAAATGTCGTCTGTTACACATGTTGGAGACATCAGATGCATTTCAAAAGGCTTTTTCTAATTTTGGAAGCAAAGACGAAAACACAGAGGAGACGTCAACTTTATTGAGCACTTTGTTTGCATGATGTACAATAAAGGTGACATTTCAGATGTCAACGAGTCCCGATATTGTATCTTCAAGGATAAATATGCACCTCGATCTTAATCAGGACCACTTGATAATGTTAAAGGCTGTGATCCATGTGCCTTTCCCCCTTCGAAGAGTGTACTGCTTCAAAAACTGAACCGTGTTCACTTTGTATCATCTATCTGGAAGAACGCTCATATTGCAAGATCTGCATTAAGGTCTCCAGAGGAACATGGTTGGAAATTGGTGGATGGATTATATTCAGTCATCTGGTATAGTGGAGACCAAATGCCAACCTCAATACACAGGAAGCTTGATATTTCTCCTCCGAGGACTCTAATGAAGATGAGTTTTCCAATCTAGCTGATGATGACACAGATAACAAGAGCAGTGACTCGGACATTCATTGAGGAACATGAACAAAGACATACTGAAAAGTGTTGTGTGCATGATGAACGGTGATGTCATTGAAGGAAATTGTGAAATATACCACTAAATGGGGAAATTTAAAAGGCGGTTTATGAACTTAAATCATAGTTTACATTCTACTCACGAATAATAGCTTCAGTAGAACATTTTGAAAGAGTTATCTCCCTTTGGTGTATTTTAAATATTATAAAGTATTATAATAGTGCCACTAGTTTACGTTTTTATCAGAAAATGAAGAACCTTTGCAGTGTTTTATACTGGCTATGCCCCATTTTAACAAAATCAACATAAGTTTCATGAATTTGTGGAATAGTTTGGTTATGAATCAAATTAGAACTTGAAGTTTACTACAAATTAACTTAAATTGCCATTTTCACTGTAAAAAATATATATAAATTTCATCATCTCTGAAAACATACTGTCACTTTCAGGAAAAAGTACTGAGTCATGCCTTTAACGCCCCCTACTGGCAAAATGGTCAAGACATAATTTGTAAGAAATTTATTTTTGAATAATGCAAATGTTACAAGTATTCAAACCATTTGGACCTTTCGGGGTAAATAAACATACGCTATCTCTTGGGCTAATGTAAATCTGTTGCTCAACGTACGGCATGTAACAATATACAGCAGTCAAACAAAACGGCCACCATGTTCGTTCTACGGCGATGTCATATAACACACACACACACACACACACACACACACACACACACACACACACGGGCTGTCGATTCACGTCGGTTACGGTGTCATGTACAAACCAGAACGACAAGCAAACTATTTTAAAGATGGCTTGCAGTTGTTGCATTCTGCAAACATTAGTGGCGGAGACAAAGTTGCAACTTGTACAACAGAAAACATCTCAACTCACAAAAACTAAAACAAGCGACGCCAAACTTCGACTGTGTTTACATGTTAGCTCGCCCCTACAATGCACTTGTAGACTGTTTCGAGTCCGTGATAAAAAAAAAGCTAATTCATATAAAAACTTAAATTTAAAAAAAGTCTTATTTCAGCATCGGTTTATGGACCTATTTAAATAATAAGCAACCCATTTTAGTGTTGCATTGTGTTTAAAATGTAAATATAGCTCTTAACGCAAGGGTACAGGCAATTAGATGGAAGAGCCCGTCAGTTAGTCCTGTATGTTGATTTTCAATTTAGGTCCTCGCTCATTACAGGTTTGTTTTTAAACCCATCTCTTATACAAGGCAATGGTGGCCTTAAATTCGGCATTTTAGAAAAGGTAATAACGTTTTCTCTACCCCCTTGTATAGCACAATCAAGTATGATTTAGAGCCAAACTTTATTTCTTAAATATTGCATTTACAGTATGATGCGGAATCCCGCCCTCACCTTCAACTGTGAGAAATGCCTGGCTACTGTTGGCAGTCTGGTGGAGGAATGTGTTCGTGGCCACACAGCTGTAGTATCCTTGGTCTGTGTATGTGACAGTCGAGATAGTCAGTCTGCTTCTATATCCAGTCTGTGTTACGTCCCCTGACGTGATCATCAAGCCATTCTTTACCCACTCAATGACCGGTAGGGGTACACTCTCCACGGCACACTCCAGGGAAGTTGATACCCCTACTCTTGCTGTGCCGCTGACAGGCATAACTGTAAAGGGCCGCAAGGCTGTATTCGAAAATATAGGTATCATTAGTAATAGTTCATTAATGACAGTTTTCTGTCGTTATTGCATCGGTCTGTTGCTGACCATAGGTTTTGTTGTTCCAAACTCCTTCAAACCAACGAGCAGCAGATTGTAAGTCACGCAAGTACCTTATAATTAGATAGGCGAATGAGGAAATACTGTTCGAAATAATGTAACTGCCCCTTTCATAGTGAATGGGTCCATGGCAGTATCTCACACTGAGGTGACTCACTGCTCCTGCGCACGGCCAGACTTTGTCTTGATGAGTGATATTATTAACAAACGACAATGCAAAGATTTGAATCAAATGGTGCGAATCTGAGAAGAAAAGTCAGCTGAAAATGAGATAGTGAAAGTACCTGCACTGTTGAGGAATTTAAGATAATAGACACACAATGCAAGGAACGAAACAATTTAAAGAAACAACTGTATGGGTGCAGATACGTTTGATCTTTCACAGTTTTCAGAAATTCGAATAGTATACAATAAAAATATATCTCTTACTGATTTGAATAATTTGTATGAATCAAAACTGAAAATCACTGGAATACACGTAATGCATTTCTCGACCACATGATGGCCTCGTTTAATGGTATTTGAACCCCTACACGATCAAATCCCACGGTCTTCAGTTTGTCAAAGTTTAATAAAAAGCACGTGGTGAGGACGAAAACACATACTTTAGCCTTTAAAAATATCTTGATTTTTATGTGACTTTATGTCCAATACTAATGATAATGAGCGAAAAGCTCTACTATCTGTTCCTGTCTTATACATTATTATAGAACTAGAATCTGCTACAAAGAGGTTGTTGACATCGTATTGTGGATCAATGGGCACCAAAGCAAGGCCTCGGCGATAGTATAACACACAGGGGACAACTATCGACAATATATTTGACAAGGTCAATTTACTACTAGTACCACATGATATCCTTGTGCAATCTAGCGATGATGGTTATCGCCTTGTAACATATTGCCAATTGGCGTAATAATGACCTGTGTAGCATACTGCCCATGAATATCCCTGTTTTTTAACTACCGATGAATATCCCAGTGCAATGTACTGCCGATAAATATCCGTGTGTAATGTACTGCTGATAAATATCCCTGTGTAATGTACTGCTGATGAATATCCCTGTGTAATGAACTGCTGATGAATATCCGAGTGTAATGTACTGCTGATGAATATTCCTGTGTAATGTACTACCTATGAATATTCCTGTGTAATGTACTGCTGGTGAATATCTCTCCTGTGTAATGTACTGCTGGTGAATATCTCTCCTGTGTAATGTACTGCCGGTGAAAATCCCTGTGTAATGTACTGTCGATGAATATCTTTCCTGTGTAATGTACTGCTGATGAAAAGCCATGTGTAATGTACTGCTGGTGAATATCTCTCCTGTGTAATGAACTGCCGGTGAATATCTCTCCTGTGTAATGTACTGCCGGTGAAAATCCCTGTGTAATGTACTGTCGATGGATATCTTTCCTGTGTAAAGTACTGCCGGTGAATATTTCTCCTGTTTAGTGTACTGCCGGTGAATATTCCTGTGTAATGTACTGCTGGTGAATATCTCTCCTGTGTAATGTACTGCCGGTGAATATCTCTCCTGTGTAATGTACTGCCGGTGAAAATCCCTGTGTAATGTACTGTCGATGGATATCTTTCCTGTGTAAAGTACTGCCGGTGAATATTTCTCCTGTTTAGTGTACTGCCGGTGAATATTCCTGTGTAATGTACTGCTGGTGAATATCTCTCCTGTGTAATGTACTGCCGGTGAATATCTCTCCTGTGTAATGTACTGCCGGTGAATATCTCTCCTGTGTAATGTACTGCCGGTGAAAATCCCTGTGTAATGTACTGTCGATGGATATCTTTCCTGTGTAAAGTACTGCCGGTGAATATTTCTCCTGTTTAGTGTACTGCCGGTGAATATTCCTGTGTAATGTACTGCTGATGAACATCCCTGTGTAATGTACTGCTGATGAATATTCCTGTGTAATGTACTGCTGATGAACATCCCTGTGTAATGTACTGCTGATGAATATCCCTGTGTAATGTACTGCTGATGAATATCCCTGTGTAATGTACTGCCGATGAATATTCCTGTGTAATGTACTGCTGATGAATATCCCTGTGTAATGAACTGCTGATGAATATCCCTGTGTAATGTATTGCTGATGAATATCCCTGTGTAATGTACTGCCGATGAATATTCCTGTGTAATGTACTGCTGATGAATATGCGTGTGTAATGTACTGCTGATGAATATTCCTGTGTAATGTACTGCTGATGAATATCCCTGTGTAATGAACTGCTGATGAATATCCATGTGTAATGTACTGCCGATGAATATTTCTGTGTAATGTACTGCTGATGAATATCCCTGTGTAATGTACTGCTGATGAATATTCCTGTGTAATGTATTGCTGATGAATATCCGAGTGTAATGTACTGCTGATGAATATTCCTGTGTAATGTACTGCTGATGAACATCCCTGTGTAATGTACTGCTGATGAATATTCCTGTGTAATGTACTGCTGATGAATATCCATGTGTAATGTACTGCCGATGAATATTCCTGTGTAATGTACTGCTGATGAATATTCCTGTGCAATGAACTGCTGATGAATATCCCTGTGCAATGTACTGCCGATGAATATCCCTGTGTAATGTACTGCTGATGAATATTCCTGTGTAATGTACTGCTGATGAATATGCGTGTGTAATGTACTGCTGATGAATATTCCTGTGTAATGTATTGCTGATGAATATCCCTGTGTAATGTACTGCTGATGAATATCCATGTGTAATGTACTGCCGATGAATATCCCTGTGTAATGTACTGCTGATGAATATTCCTGTGTAATGAACTGCTGATGAATATCCGAGTGTAATGTACTGCTGATGAATATTCCTGTGTAATGTACTACCTATGAATATTCCTGTGTAATGTACTGCTGGTGAATATCTCTCCTGTGTAATGTACTGCTGGTGAATATCTCTCCTGTGTAATGTACTGCCGGTGAAAATCCCTGTGTAATGTACTGTCGATGAATATCTTTCCTGTGTAATGTACTGCTGATGAAAAGCCATGTGTAATGTACTGCTGGTGAATATCTCTCCTGTGTAATGAACTGCCGGTGAATATCTCTCCTGTGTAATGTACTGCCGGTGAAAATCCCTGTGTAATGTACTGTCGATGGATATCTTTCCTGTGTAAAGTACTGCCGGTGAATATTTCTCCTGTTTAGTGTACTGCCGGTGAATATTCCTGTGTAATGTACTGCTGGTGAATATCTCTCCTGTGTAATGTACTGCCGGTGAATATCTCTCCTGTGTAATGTACTGCCGGTGAAAGTCCCTGTGTAATGTATTGCGATAAATATCCCTATGTAATCTACTACTATGAATATTCCTGTGTAATGTACTGCCGGTGACTATCCCTGTGTAATGTATTGCGATTAATATATCTGTGTAATGTACTGCCGGTGAATATCCCTGTGTAATGTACTGCCGGTGAATATCCCTGTGTAATGTACTGCCGGTGAATATCCCTGTGTAATGTCTCGCCGGTGAATATCCCCGTGGAATCTACTGACGGTGAATATGTCAGTGTCCTTGAGGCAGGGTATTTTTTGTCTCGTACATTTGAACAAAATGGGGAAATACGAAACAACGGCTTAAGTTCTTGGCAGAGGAGGCACTTACTAGCTAGTGTGAGGTTTGCTAGTCTGGAGTAAATGCTTTGCCTCCCTGTGAGGGCGATGCAGCCATAGGCCCCGGCGTTGTGCATCTGAACATTTTTCACCAGAAGACTGCCGTTAGCATGGATCTCGGTGTTCTCATCGGGGACAAGGTCAGCGTCTCTAAACCGCCAGCTGAAATACAGAATACGACTGTGTACGTTTCAACTTCATACAATTTCGTTAATATTCGAAGTTTGGTATATCGCTTTCGGAACTTTGCAATGTGTAAATGGTAGTAAACCAGAAAACCCATGATGACAATTTCGATGTGTTGTCATAAGGGTAGCAGTTGAATATGTGACAGTATCTACAAACTTGTTTGACAGTGCTTGTAGTAGGAAATTCTTACGATTGTGGAAAGTGATGTGGCGCCAATGGGTCTAAAGGACGGATTGCTTCGTCACGCTACCATACACCTGTCAAATTACCATCGATGACCACTTGAGTGGCCCTGTAATGTGCAGTGATACCTCCCCAAACCATTACGCTAAAACCACCGAATGCAGAACGTCATCACGCACACGCGTCAGCATGACGTTTCATGCAACGTCGACACGCAGACAGCCATCACTGCTGTCAATATGAAACCAGGATTCATCTGTGGAGAGAACTTACCCCCAGTCTTTTGACCTTAACATCAAATGTTGTCTTGACTATGCCAGGCGTGCAGTTCGATGACGAGGCAGATATATTGGGAATTTAGATGGACGTTGTAGTCGGATTTCAAATTAGTAATGGATTCCTCACAGTCCTTGCACTAGTCGGATGTCCCGAACGTGGTCGGTTGCTTTCAATGCAGATCGTAACCATTTCTTTTATCCCCAAGCACCAGTCTTGAGATTCTGGAATCGTTACCAACACGTGATTTTCCCTTATTCGGAAGACCAGGCGTGAGGATCATGGCCCAGGACGCTACAAACAGTGTCGTCACCAAGGGCAAAGTACCATCACGGCAGTCTATACAGTTTGCTGCCAGTTTGCCCGTGACAGCCCACACAGCAAGGAATCGTCTACGTCAGGTAGGTCTTCGCTTAAGACGGCTTGGCGTGTTCTTGGTGTCATATTGACTGACCATCATAGTCGACTACGACGTCAGTGGTACCATGTTCACAGACTACTGTCACACCTACAGAGAGAACTTTGTGGTTCAGCGACGAATCCCGATGTCTGCTTCGTCGTGCCGATGGATGGTGTCAGGTTTACAGGCTTGGACGTTGTGCGCCAAACTGCATGCACGAAGTTAAGAGATTCAACGGAACAAGTTTGATGGTGTGTGCAGCAAGCCGGAACAAGGCAGAACCAACCTGCTTTACGTTCAGTGCAACTTAACACTTACACAGACCGTCATTGCCAGACCACACACAGCTGCTCTGTTCACGACGACACCTACACAACTACCGTAGTCATGTCCTGCACCGGTCATAAAGATAACCAGATTTGAGACTGTGTGCCGATGACCGTGGTCTTTGACTTGTAACAGCTGTGGTACCATGTTTTCTTACACACCTGTGGGTGAGAAACCCATTTGAGATACTTGGTATCAAAGCACTCTCCTACCCATGCGGCCGGCAGCCAGCCAGCATAGTGCCTCTGCCACAGGCCAGCGATTCGTCACATCTTTCGCAGTCCATTCAAGATATAGCATATGCTTTTCATCCGTTTCATGTTTGACAAGTCTGCACATTTTCATAAACAAATGTCAAAGAATGGTAACGGTTCATTAAAAAAGTATCCCTTACGCGAAAATCTACTTGTTTTTGCGTAGTTATCCTTTGTTTACATTGTTTGTACGGCTCCACGTGCTATCATCGAAGCCCAACGGAGAGCTAGCGATTCGGTCACTTTGATGTATAAATATATATTGTCATGCAACTCACTGTCGCATATCTATTTAATTATGCAAAACAATATGTAAAGCGCCCTCAAATACTTGCATTAGTCCGTTCTATACTGATTTCTGAAAAAGCGCGTTTGTTTACAAACAAGAGAAAAGTCCGGTCACGTGATGTGCAAATTAGCCTGTGGCAGTGGTGTTATGCTGAGTCACCAATGCGCCGGTGTCTGGTATCAAACATTTGTGTGAGATCGAATTCAAGGCCGGTGATTGGCTAATCCATGGTGATGACCTGAGGTCAGATGATGACGGACTACTTTCCGGAGTGTAAGTCATTCATAAGCTGCTCGTGCTTCAGTCGAATGTTCACCTACCTGTATTGAACCACAGGACCGTGTAATTAATAATAATAATAATAATAATCATAATAATACATACACAGATGTAATACACTGTCATGAAACCTAGTACTCTGACATACACAGATGTAATACACTGCCATGACACCAAGTACTCTGACATACACAGATGTAATACACTGTCATGAAACCCAATACTCTCACATACACAGATGTAATACACCGTCATGACACCCAGTACTCTGACATAAATAGTTGTAGTACACTGCCATGAAACCCAGTACTCTGACATACACAGTTATAGTACACTGTCATGACACCCAGGACTCTGACATACACAGATGTAATACACTGCCATGACACCAAGTACTCTGACATAAATAGTTGTAGTACACTGCCATGAAACCCAGTACTCTGACATACACAGTTATAGTACACTGTCATGACACCCAGGACTCTGACATACACAGATGTAATACACTGCCATGACACCAAGTACTCTGACATACACAGATGTAATACACTGTCATGAAACCCAATACTCTCACATACACAGATGTAATACACCGTCATGACACCCAGTACTCTGACATAAATAGTTGTAGTACACTGCCATGAAACCCAGTACTCTGACATACACAGTTATAGTACACTGTCATGACACCCAGGACTCTGACATACACAGATGTAATACACTGCCATGACACCAAGTACTCTGACATAAATAGTTGTAGTACACTGCCATGAAACCCAGTACTCTGACATACACAGTTATAGTACACTGTCATGACACCCAGGACTCTGACATACACAGATGTAATACACTGCCATGACACCAAGTACTCTGACATACACAGTTATAGTACACTGTCATGACACCCAGTACTCTGACATACACAGATGTAATACACTGTCATGACACCCAGTACTCTGACATACACAGATGTAATACTCTGTCATGAAACCTAGTACTCTGACATACACAGATGTAATACACTGTCATGAAACCTAGTACTCTGACATACACAGATGTTATACACTGCCATGACACCAAGTACTCTGACATACACAGATGTTTTACAATGTCATGACACCCAGGACTCTGACATACACAGATGTAATACACTGCCATGACACACAGTACTCTGACATACACAGATATAATACACTGTCATGACACCCAGTAGTCTGACATACACAGATGTAATACACTGTCATGACACCCAGTACTCTGACATGCACAGATGTAATACACTGCCATGACACCAAGGACTCTGACATACACAGATGTAATACACTGTCATAACACCCAGTTCTCTGACATACACAGATGTAATACACTGCCATTACACCTTGTACTCTGACATACACAGATGTTATACACTGCCATGACACCAAGGACTCTGACATACACAGATGTAATACACTGCCATGAAACCTAATACTCTCACATACACAGATGTAATACACTACCATGACACCCAGTACTCTGACATACACAGATGTAATACACTGTCATGACACCCAGTACTCTGACATACACAGATGTAATACACTGCCATGACACACAGTACTCTGACATAAACAGATGTAATACACTGCCATGACACCCAGTGCTCTGACATACACAGATGCAAAACACTGCCATGACACCCATTACTCTGACATACACAGCTGTAGTACACTGCCATGACACCCAGTACTCTGACATACACAGCTGTAGTACACTGCCATGAAACCTAGTACTCTGACATACACAGATGTGAGACACTGCCATGACACCCAGTACTCTGACATACACAGCTGTAGTACACTGTCATGACACCCACTACTCTGACATACCCAGCTGTAATACACTGCCATGAAACCCAGTACTCTGACATACACAGATGTTATACACTGTCATGAAACCCAGTACTCTGACATACACAGATGTAATACACTGTCATGACACCCAGTACTCTGACATACACAGATGTAATACACTGTCATGAAACCCAGTACTCTGACATACACAGATGTTATACACTGTCATGAAACCCAATACTCTCACATACACAGATGTAATACACTGCCATGACACCAAGTACTTTGACATAAACAGATGTAATACACTACCTTGACACCCAGTACTCTGACATACCAAGATGTAATACACTGTCATGACACCCAGGACTCTGACATACACAGATGTAATACACTGTCATGACACCCAGTAGTCTGACATACGCAGATGTAATACACTGTCATGACACCCACTACTCTGACATACCCAGCTGTAATACACTGCCATGACACCCAGGACTCTGACATACACAGATGTAATACACTGTCATGAAACCCAATACTCTCACATACACAGATGTAATACACTGCCATGACACCAAGTACTCTGACATAAACAGATGTAATACACTGCCATGACACCAAGTACTCTGACATAAACAGATGTAATACACTGCCATGACACCAAGTACTCTGACATTCACAGATGTAATACACTGCCATGAAACCCAGGACTCTCACATACACAGATGTAATACACTGTCATGACACCCAGTACTCTGACATGCACAGATGTAATACACTGCCATGATACCCAGGACTCTGACATTCACAGATGTATTACACTGCCATGAAACCCAGTACTCTGACATACACAGATGTAATACACTGCCATGACACCAAGTACTCTGACATAAACAGATGTAATACACTGCAATGACACCAAGTACTCTGACATTCACAGATGTAATACACTGCCATGAAACCCAGTACTCTCACATACACAGATGTAATACACTGCCATGACACCAAGTACTCTGACATAAACAGATGTAATACACTGCCATGACACCAAGTACTCTGACATAAACAGATGTAATACACTGCCATGACACCAAGTACTCTGACATTCACAGATGTAATACACTGCCATG